TACCAGGCCTGACCACAGGCTGCCTCTTTGGGACCTCATTAAGCCCCGTCCACACCCAGCACCCTGCGGCAGCCCAGAGCTAGGCAGGGACCCCTTGAGCTGGGGCGCTGTGTTGCCCTCGGGGTACCCCTGGGCCCAGGGCAAGTGCCACACAAATATTAGCTGTTAACATGGTGGAGAGAGAGAGAGAGAGAGAGATGCATTAACACAGACAGGAATTTGAAGCCCTGAGTCAGATGACTTGCCCAAGGCCACTCAGCAAATTAGTGGCCAAATTCAGATTCAGACACAGGCAGTAGAGCTTCACAGCCTGTGCTCTTACCCACAGGACAGAGGTGGGGACCAGGAGTCTCAGGGACAGCATTTCCTAAGAGCCCACCCCAGTCGGCGGCCTTGACATGCTGGGAGAGGACACAAGAAGGCACCCAAGTGCTGGGGCTGGCACGGCACCTAGAGGGAGGAGGGCTCCCGGGAGCCGGGGCTTCAGCTGGAGGGGATCACAGGGGAGGGCTCTGCCATCTGGCCTTGGCAGAAGGAAGCCACCTGGCCCCAGCGGGAAGTGGGGCTTCACAGGGGGGGCCAGGAGTCCGGGCAGTGGGGCTTGAATGCCGTCAGAATGCCATGCTGAGAGGTCTGGCCTTCACTGCTGATCTCTTAGACAGAAAGGGACAGCAGAAGCCCTGGAGGTTGGGGCCCAGGTGCTTCCCTCTCCACCCCAGCCTTTCTGCCTCAGCCTCCTGCTGACTGGTGGCCACCCTTCCCTGCTGCGCTGCACACCTCCTGCACCTTCCGGGTGGCCTCCACACTCTTCCCTGCTCAGGCCCTCCAGGCCAGGCACACTAGCCTCCCGGCAGGTCACATGTGTGCCACATTCCTCTCTGTCTCGGAGCCTTCCCCTCTCGGTACCTTGTGCTCGGAGCACACTTCCCTGGGCCCATCTGTGTTGTCTCCTCAGAGGGTCTCCAGGCTGCCTGCCAAAGTTGGCACTGGCTTTCCCAGGACGGCCAGCCCCAGAGCAGGTGAGCCACACTGGGGCCCAGACTCCACTTGGGGTTCAGTCTCTGTGGGCTAAACCAACACACAAAGCATAAAGGGAACAAAAAAGAGGCCAAAACAGGAAGCAGGAAAGAGAAGAGAATCAGAGAAGAGCTGAGGAAAGATGCAGAGCAAGCCCAAAAGAGGTCACGGGGGTCAGTGGGTAGGCCTGCCAGGCCTCCCCGGGGCGAGTGCCTGCCGGGCCCTGCATTGTCCCACCACTGCCGAGGTGGGGGGTTCATTCTCTCGGCAAGCCCTGGCCCCGCACCTCCGCCATGTTGTGCCCACAGAAGATCCCTCCCCTGACCCACTAGTCTCAGCCCGCACCACCCAGGCCCTTACTGCCACCTCGGAGTCAGATAAGACCGCTCAAACCCCCTTGGCCTCGCCTCCAACACATCAGGAACGGAGGCCATCCCCACCCCCAGCCACCTCAGGCCAACAGATCCACCAGGCTCTGTCCATGCAGGGCACTCAAGCCGGCCATTGGCAAGCGCTAGGGAGCATGTGGGGGCTTGGACTCAGCCGTTCCGCGTTCCGGAGCCGGAGGGGCCTTGGCAAACACCTGATCGGTCACTCGATGCCCAGACAGAAAAGGCATCTGAGGCAGCACAGGGAGGAGCCCAGGTGTCTTTCGGGATGTCCCCTGCGTTGGGTTCTCTCCCACCCGGAGTCGTGCACCGGGGGCCAGACGTGTTGCTGAGGACTGGCGTCCAGTTCAGCCTCTTTGGGCAGCACTGCACTTCTAAGGGGACTAAAAAGGCTGTGCCTTTAGAATCGTTCTCACACCACATCAGCAGGCCCCTCGACACGGAACGTCCCAGTCATCTGAACCTGAGCGAGAGAAGCCCCGTGCCCTGGTCGTGGTGCCTCAGTAGGAAACAGGTTGGCCTTCCCATGGCGCCCGAGAGAGGCCCTACTCCGCTCCCCGCAGGGGCGGCCGAGTCGTGCCGCCCACCCACTCCTGGCCCGGGCTGGTCTCCCCATGCTCCCGGCTGCGGTCCTGGCAGGTGGAGCGCCTTCCTCCCTGTTGGGCCCCCTGCTCCGTCCAGCCCCGCCCACCTGCAGGCAGGGCCCTGTGGACTCCTTGCTCCCTTTGCCTCCCCTTCTGCCTTTTCGTAGCTCAAATTGTGACTTTTATGATAATCCGAAACCTGTGCATTTAGCCTGGTAAGAGGCTCCGCTTCGTGGGGACTGGGGGTGTCTGAGGCCTGGGCACTGCTTCTGTGAGTGGCCTGGTGGTGCGGGCGCTGCTGGGTGACCTGGGGGTTGTCCTGTCCCACTGCTGCTCATTGAGTCTGGAGCCATCAGGCCAGGTGGCCTGGACAGGACCGAAGGCCGCTGCCGGGTGAGAACAGGATCCGTGAGATCCTCCTCAGACTGCTGGAGCGCGGCCAGGCGGTGGGGGACACACACGGCTCCAGGGTCACACGGCCAGGAGCCCTTGGGCATGGCTGGAGTGGGTGCGGGGAAACAGTAAGGCCAGTCTTTCCTCATTTGTGCTCAGTGGGGATAAAGTTAAGGTCCACAGTTTCCAGCACTTTGGCCTTAACTCTGGAGCCAGGCCTCTGAGGCTCACAGCCCAGGTTTGTCATGTATGAGCTGTGTGACTTTAGACAAATTGCTTAATGTCCTGTGCCTCGGTTTCCTCATCTGGAAAAAGGAAAAGGCTGCTACCTGGGAGGGTGTTGAATGAATGCGTGGCACAAGCACTCCATGAACACCGGTGGCCAAGAGCAGCCTGGGAGCCATGTGTCAAGGATTGTCAGGATGGACCCCAAAGCCAAGTTCTGGGTCCTCCCACTGGTCTCCCCTCGGTCTGGGCTCCACACCCCAGTTACAGAGGGGAGTTACAGTAAGCTGCTGGGTGGCACAAGACAGGGAGAGGGAATGAGCTGCCTGGTTTCTCCAAGGCCAGCAGACGGGGGGTGTCTCTGTGGACGAGTCAGAGGGAAGGCTTCCCAGGAGATGGGCCATCTTTCCTGGCCACCTTGCTCAGACAGGTCTGCCCAGCCACCAGAACCATGGACACCTGTGTCAGGCAAGGCCGTTTCCCTCCCTGGCACCTGCCACCAGTCCTAGCCTGCAGCTCCTTGAGGACTTCGGAGAGGCTGGGACCAGCCTTCTGGCCCTCTGTTCCTCTGGACAGAGAAGGTGAGAGGCCATATGGTGAGGGGCTGCTTGGACAATCAGGTCTCACTTGCCCTTGGACAGAAGGAAGGCCAGGTGGTTGGGCTGGGAGAATGGCCTCCGAAAGAGGGAGGTGTCTGCCTCTACAGTGTCCTCCTTACCCTCCAAGGTGGTGTGGCCTTGTCTCCGGGTCTGGGGGGGTGGGGGCGGTGGGCCCTCTGTTGCAGGAGAAGTCCCAGGACCAGATCCGGAGCGTGAGGCAGGTGAACACTGGGCGATGGGATGTGGCCTCCGGGCGCTGAGGCAGCATGCATTTCCCCAGGGAATGAGAGATCAGGATTTGCAGGCTTCACTTTATCGTGAGGGAGGAATAACTGGTTTCCGTGAAAAGGTGGTCCATGCTCATTGGAGTAGGGTCATTAAGAAAACCTTGTGAAGCAGAAAATGCCAGATAGCATCCTAATGTACTGAAATCCAAAAGGTGTCCTCTCCCTGGCCCATCCTTCTGGCCAAAGTGAGTGGGGTGGATCAAATGTAACCGGGAAGATCCCTGGATGGTGGCTGCCACCCAGCATTGGGGCAGAGTAGGCTGGGGTGGGAGGTGTAGGGAAGGTGGGCACCAGACATAGAGATGACGTAACTCCAGAAGCTCAGCTGGGAGAGGGGAATGGCAGGTTTAGGGGGGGTGGACTTTTTTTAGGCCTGCTTATAACACGCTATGAAGCACCCGGTAAAGTTCCTAAAGGAAGGACCCACGCTTGGACTGGCAGCCTCCATTCAGGGGCCCGGGTGTGAGACGGGCAATGCTGTTCTGTTCAAAGGAACTTAGCCACAAATTGGATGGCCGCGTTTCTACCGAACTGAAGTAGGGGCCCCCCATGGAACTCAGGAGAGGCCTTCTGGAATGCATGGCACCCCTGGTATTGAAATTTGCTGGGCACCCATTGCTTCCACATTTGGAAATTCTGTAAAAAGTTTTTAAAAAGTGGGAGGGCAGAAAAGGAAAAGCAGGCTGGCTTCCCCGCTGTGGCCTGGAGTCCAGGGCCTTTGGAAAAAGTCTGGATGAAGAATGATTTTGGAGCTTGGCTCAGTGTGAGTTCCGCAGCAGCCAGTGGAACCTTCCAGGAATGCTGCCCTGGGCCAGCCGGGGGCTGTTTCCGCCGCCACTTTTATGAGATGCAGAGCCCTCCATGCTGGCCGGCTAGCGTAGGGGGAACGTGACTGTCTCTGTCAGCTCAGCTCTGCTGCTCAGGCCACAGTTCATATTCCACAGAGAAGCCACTCTCTGGCCCCTGCCCTGTGCCCTGGGGCTCAGAGCCCTTGCAGCCTGGCCAGCTCATTTGAAAGGGGCCAGCGGCAGAGGGAGCCATCTCCGTGGGCAGCTGACTGCCGTGCGGGATGTCGTGAGAATTCAGAGCAGCCTTACAGGGGCAACTCCCTCCCAAAGTGTTTCAGTGCATCACTAAATACACAAAAGGAAGGTTCCCTTTCCACTGGACCAAGGCCCTGAGCCCCATGGAGCCCCAGGGAAGGTGGCAACATCTCTTGGGAAAGCCCGCAGACAGACGGGTAAAGTTAATAGAGAGCTTTGTTTCCTGACCTGACCCTTTTCTCACGCTGCTCGCCTACTTGCCCTCCCTGTCCCCCCCCACCCCACCCCCGCCACCAACATCAGAGGACAACTGTTCAGAGTCAGGACGGGTGGGCATGAAGGCAGGAGCTCTCCTACCGTCACCGGAGACAAGGGGCCGGGCAGGGCCCCCCAGGGGGAAGAGCCGGTGCCGGCAGCGCGGAGGCGCCCTGTCCTCTGAGCCTTACCACCGTTGATTTTGCAGACGGTCTCCATCCTGGAGCAGCGGTTGTCACTGACAGAAGACAAGCTGAAGCAGTGTCTGGAGAACCAGCAGCTAATCATGCAGGGAGCGGCACCGTGATCAAGGGAGCGAGAATTAAGAGCTCAGTTGATTTGGGGGTGGCAGGCCAGGGGTTTGTACTGTGGAACTTGGGTAAATAAAGGGGATTCAGCTCGGTGGGAGTCCCATCCCTCCCTGAGCCCCAGTGCTGCGCCGATCTGCCCTTTGCCCTTGTTCCCCCAGAGCCCCACCCAGCAGAGAGGCCCCCGGGGTGGCCGCACATGCGGAGTGCACCCTGTTTAACGTGGAACCACCTGGAGAGGTTTGCTGCCTGGGAGTCCTAAGGGGCCCTGGAATCACAGGGCCTGCCAGGGGGTAGCCTCAAGCCACCTCGCTTTCCAAAACTCACCTTACCGGGACCTTTCTGCCCTGTGACACCTGCTACAGCTCAGAAGTGCTCTGCTCGTCTGACAAGAGGCCCAGCATGGGCCCACCCGAGCCGGCTTTCTCCAGAAATGAGCACCCGGGGGTGGCTCTGGCTGCTCCACATGTCCCCTGCGGCCTGGCGGCCTCCTGCATGGGCGAGGACAAAAGAATCTGAAATTAAAACAGACTTTATTGAACTCGCAGACATGGCTTGTTCTGAGTGAGCCCTAGTCAGCCCTCCCGTCCCCAGGGCCCCTGCACACCTCCCGCCCCCCTCCGGCTGGCCCCAGCTGGCTTCCTGCATTGGGACCTGGAGGCCGCAGGCATCGGCATTCCCACTTCCTCACGAGGGTTTCCACAGGCTCCTTCCTCTGCCTCTGCGGGAAGGCCAGGGAGTGTTTCCCGTATGTGGGGGGTGTCCATACCTTCAGCATTCGGCTCCTTGGGGCCCAGCCAGGCGGAAGGCATTTGTCCTCCACACCTCCCCTGCCCCGGGGCTTGCAGGGCAGTGCTAGATCTTCTCAGGAGCTGTCAGTACTACAGGGCCACGAGGCTCCCAGCCTCTGGGGCTTCTGATCAGGAGCAGAGCCTGAATGCCTAAGAGCTCAGGCTGACCAGGAGGCAGCCTACGCTGAGTCCAGCCTGCTGGGGGGAGAGCTGCGTCCTGGAGTCAGGCTCAGGCTCTGCCTTTGGCCAGCTGTGTGACCAGGGCCTCTCTGAGCCTCAGGTCCTTGTTGAAGTTGTGGTAAGCACCCCTCCAGGTGGTCACAGGTAGGGGCTGCAGGAGCCGGCACCAGGGGTGCTCTGTAGAGGCCCACCACGCTCCTGCTGCCAGCGACACACTCCCTGTGAGCTGTAGGTGGGGAAATGGCTGCTCATGCAGGAGGTCCTGGAGGCCTCGGACCTGCTGCAGTCCCCAAGTGGCCCTCCCAGTATGTAGCAGGCCAGCTAGTCTGAACTGGCCAGCAAGGCCCTTAGCTGCCTTGCGACATCATGGGCTCCCCATCCCTGGAGGCTTTTAGGCAGGCTGGCCAGCCCTACATCAGCCTGCTCAGAGGGGACGCGGCCTGTGGGGCCGCACCTGTCATCCCTTCCCATGCTGGCTGCCCCGGTGTGGCTTCTGGGGCTGGAGCAGCCAGCCCAGGGCAAGGTCATCTCCAAAGACACAGATGGTTCCCCTGCTGCAGACAGCAGGACATGAGCAGGGTCTCCAGGGCACTAAGTGGCGGCTCTTGCTCGTAGGCCAGGCCAGGCTTGCTATCATTCCTATCTTAGTTTACACCAGGATCAAGTTTTGAATTTTTGAAATCAAGCTTTCTTTGTGGGGGAAATGTGGATTTGAAGGCACTGCTCGTGGGAGGCCTGACCCAACACCTCACTGGTCTGAGAATCCAGGGCCCAGGTTGCTCCTGGGGGTGGGGACGGGACCATAGGGCGCCCTGACTACTCGGGACTGTCCATCTATCCTCAGTGGCTGTCCCTGGAAGCGCCACCCCAGTTAGCAGATGGAGACATCCCCGAGTGGGGACTGACACCTGCACCACACACCTTGTCTTATAGAATGACGTCTGGATTATCTCGCATCTTGGGACAGTGGACCTGAGTGTTCCCAGATGGAGGCAGCCCCGGGCTGCCCAGGAGGGCATTGCTGGAGTGCCCAGGCCGTCCTCCTTCGGGGTTTCCAGCACACACCTGCCTTGCTGGACCCACCAGCCAGACCTGGGATTTGGGAAAGGTGGTTCTGGGAGAGCAATGCTCATCTTTAAAATGCCATGGAGACCTGCCTCCTGCAAACCTGGGGGTCAGTGTGTCACCACGCCGAGGTGTGAAGGGGCTCAGGCTGCCATCTGGGCCAAGTTCTTCCCCAAAGCGCACCTTTACGGGAGGCCTGACCTGACACCCCACTGCTCGGAGAATCTGGACACTGGCCCCTGGGGTGGGGGGCGCTGTCATAGAGCCCTCTGGCCACTGCAGGGCCTGTCCATCTAGCCTCAGTTCTCACCACCGCCACCGCCCCCCATAAGGGTGCTGCAGGATCCTGGCTCTGGGGGCCTCACAGGCAGGGGAGGAGTGGGCCTGGGTGGGCTTGGCAAGGTTGGGGGCCATGTGAGTGGGCTTTTCTTGTAGTGTCCCCCGAAGTGACACTCTGCCACACCCTGCATGTGGCACAGTCCTCCCCGCCGGCCCCACCGCCATGGGGCGCTTACCAGTCCCCCACTCACACTGCCAAGTTCAGAAGCAGCCCTCTAGAAATGCAAATGTCTCAACTCAGCTGTCGTCTCTCCTAATTTTGGATTTTGGTAACAACTCCCAGAAAACCAAATTGCAGGCATCTCTGTTTCTGACTTGGAAGATGAGGTTAGGTAGGGGTTTTTGTTAGGAAATGAATCTCAGTGGCATTTTCCAGCCCCCACCTCCCATGCCCTAATTTCCCTGACACATAAAGTCAAACAACAGGTGTCTCTGAGTTAACTTGCCATCCCCACCTACCCTCTGCCAGAGTCTCAGGATTCCCAGATGAACCTGCACTTCCTGCTGGAGAAAATGAGGGAGGCAGGTCAGGTGGGCTGGACGACCAAGCCACTTGCTGGGCTAGGTGTCCGCGGGTTCCTGCAGGCCCGTGTCCCCGTCCCCTGGTCTGTGTGCCACAGCTCCATGGTGGCCGGCCATGTGGCAGCAGGCTGCTGAGACGGCAGAGCTGTGGAAGCAGGAGGTCGTTCCGGGAGCCGGGGCCCCTGACCTGCTGCTCAAGTCCAAATCCAGCTCCACCCCCTGCTAGCTGCATGACTTGAACCAGTTCCCTAACCCTGTGGAGACTGGGAGACAACCCCAGTGCTCCGAGCAGTGGCGGAGTGTGTGGTCAGCGGGGGACTGCTGGTGTCCCCCCACTGTTCTGGGGGAGACTCTGGCAGGTCAGGTCCCTTCCCTGGCACTTGACCTTGTGTCTGCCAGTGGGGTGAAGGGCTGAAGGTCTCAGGGTTTCTCCAGCTCTGGGAGTCTAGGCAGCCAGAGTGAGGATCTCCTGGCTCTGTGGCCTTGCCGTGGACACCCCACTGGCAGGAGGGAGTTGGGCCAGCAGGCAGGGGACCTCAGGGCAGCCCCCCACCTGAGGAGGTGAACACCCCGCAGCCACCCCTTCTGCTGCCACCAAGGCCTTTGCCAGGGCCGGCACAGGCGTGGGGACAGTTGTGGTTGCCCAGAATCCCAGAAACCCCATCCACTGACCGAGCGAGGGTATGGGAGTCACACTGCCTGCTGTCCCGCTCCCATTATTAACTCATCCTCCGAAACAATGTGCTCAAGATGGGCCCCTGCTCTCGCCCTAAGTGATGTGTGGCCTTTTAAGGGGGACAAAACCACCCCGGGGTTCATGCCAAGCATCCCACCCTGCCCAAGGCTGCTGAGGAGGGACCCACTGTGCCACGGCTGGTGGTAGGCTGGTGGCAGCCCGGCCCCATGGGGCAGGGTCTCATGTCCTGTGAGCAGGCACAGTCTCGCCCTCTTGCCTAGGGGGCTCCAGCCCACCCTCCCCAGGCCGCCCTGCCACCTGGGCTCACTGGCTTGGCCGTTCCAGGAAGGCTCTCTGGAAGCCTCACCTTGCTCCCCACCCACGAGGGCCCAGGATGCCGGGCCCTCACAGCGGAGAGAGGAGCTGTCCCAGGAGCCTGGGGCAACACTGCTGGGAAGCTTTCTGTGCCAGCCCTTCCGCTGGCGTGGGACTGCTGTGTGGAAACACTCTCCCAAGAGCCTATTCATAGAGCGAGGCCAGGGGGCCCTCCCTTCAGGTGAGGCGTCTTGAGTCCCAGAGTGCTTCCTGTGGTAGGAGCAGGCCCCACCCACTCTCTCTTCCCACCCTCGGGGCCAGGAACCTGGGCCGGGGAGGAGGTCGTGTCCTGCAGCTTCCCTTTATCAGCTGAGCTTCTTGAGGCCCAAGAGCATGTTCCTTAAAGTGGGCACCTAGTGGCCGGCAGTGTCACTCAGCCACGAGTACTGACATCAGCCCCCATCCACCTTCGTCCTTGCCCAGCTGGGCGCCTGGAATCGGCTTGGGACGCAGAACTGCCTTTGGCGTCATGGGCATCCCTGAACACCTGCGGCCCATGCTTACCCAGTCCATGTGGCTCTGGTCTGAGGCCCGGCCTAGGGTGCGTGGGGCCTGCAGATGCTCTGTGTAACTGGCCCGGTCCTGGGCCTGGCCTGTACCTGGCAGGCCTCTCTGGGAACATCCAGCTCCCCCAGAAGCCCCTGTGGTGCTCCAGCCCAGCTCTGCACCATGCCCCTCAAACTCTGACCCCAGCCAGAGCCACCCCAAATGCCCTCATGCCCAGGGTTGGGGCGGGGTGCTGATCATGCTCTGGGCCAGCATGCACGTGCCCCACCCCCAGTTCAGCCCCCAGAATCTTCCTCCCATGACAGCTGCCCCTGGATTGGCTCCTCAAGCCTCTGAGACTCAGAGCAGCAGAAGCAATGTGATTAGTCTCCCAGACCCTCCAGGCAGGAGCTCACACGTGCCTGCTGACAGGAAGCAGAAGGCGCTTTCTGTGGAGAGGCCAGGCTGGCCCACGTCTGAGCTGCTGCCACGGACTGCTCAGATGGTACTGCAAAGCTGACCTCTGCCCCCGGGTGGCCCTGGTCCTGGGGTTGGGTCCAGCTCCCCTCGTAGTTGGGGTGTGCTTGGGAACAAACCATTTGTGAGGCCTCAAGAGGACACTTCTGCTCTTTAAGAGGAATCCCAAGGTCTTCTGTTGGGGATAAATGTGTCTGGTTTGTAGGAGCCTCAGGCTGGGGCAGCCCAGGTAAAAGCCCGTCCCCTGGGCCCCAGAAGCTGCTAACCCGCAACTAGCCTACTCCCCACCCCCAGGAGCTGGGACCTGCTGAGGCACTCCCTGCTCCCTGCTGGCCTCCCTCCCCTGCCCTGCCTCTCCACACCACAGCCATGAGCCTGATTCCATTCTGCCTGCCCCCCATCTCTCCTCATGCCCCTCCAGCCACACCAGTCTCCTCGCTGTTCCATGGACATGCAGGCACATTCCAGCCCCAGGGCCTTTGCACCTTATGTTCCTGTTGCCAAGAATACTCCAGCTTCCCCTCTCTGTGCCTCAGCCTTCTTGTCTGGAACATGGGATACGAGTAGGAGTGGCCTCATAGGGTTGCTGGAAAGATGTGTTGAGACAATTCACACAAAGCTCCAGGAGCAGGCTTT